AATTTGCGGGGTCTCCACTTTCTGCGTGAACCACCCAGAATCCTTGGTCTCAGTCCTGCAAATTATGAGACCACACTGAAACTGAGGACAGTTGGCTGGCTTCAAGTTGCGAAACAGTTCCATCCGGGTTCTCAGCGTGTTTATCATTGTTCATAAAAACCGGCGGATGTTTCCCGTTTCGCACTTCTCGCAAGAAATTCATCTGTACCAGTTCGGGAAAAAATTCAACTTTTGCGAGAAGTGCGAAACAAGAAACAGCCAGCGTTCACTAAAATGTAGGCCCGGCAGATTCCGGTGGAAATTGTCAGGAGCCGGGAGGCAGTGTTTTTTTGGAACGGCTTGTAAATGCGCGCAAACGCGAGAAACCATAATGCTACAGTAAAACTACCATTGGTCTAGACGCGAAAACTTTAAATTAAACTGACGAGTCGCTACTCAGAGGAACGTACATTCTATCGGACAAAGTGCGAGAGACAAATAAATAATTTCAAAAAAAAAAAACGTTCCGGAAAAAACACAATTCGAACTGTTACTATAGCTACCGATGATAATTACAATTCCTCAGATAAATATTACATCTAAAGATTCGAATCCATCCAAAAGATTTTTGAAATCTGACAACTATCAACATAAAGATATTAATAAAAGTTCAATAAAAACTTTTGTCTGGACCAAGACATCGAGATATTTAAGATGACATGAACAGTTTATTATAAAGAAAATAATTTTATCATAGTGATGAATTGTTCGAATTTGAATAGCAGGAAGCAGTACAGAAAGACAAATAATAACAGTAAAACTTTGAAATGATGAACAATTGTTTGATATAGTGAAAGGATGCATATTCTAAGATACTTGACCGTCTCAGGTCTTTGGCTTGTTGAAGTCTTACATTTTCTTCACTCGCGAGCCTGCAAGTTAGCGATTTTCGTACTGGGAATGTTTCGTTGGATGCTCCATGCAGCCGAAAGGAGAAAACTCACTTTCTTTGTGGGCGGACCCGATCCCGATGGTTCCGAAGATTCGCTTCCTTGGTTTCCTCTGAGCTGGGCCAATCTTTCCTGTCTCTGGGCTTCACGTTGTCTTTGGATTTCAGATCTCGCTGGAGTTGGATCGGGATCCATCAGAGCCGCCATACGGTTTCTGTTGGGTAGAACTCTTGTGGTTCCTTTCGCTTCGACTTGGAACTTTTGTTGATTTCGTTCAATATCTAAAAATCAAAACTGAAATAAAACGTTGAGAAATAAATATCACCTTGGCGATCTTTAGCAGAGCAGCTAAAATCTCGGGATGGGGCTGGCGAACGATAATTCACTGAACTTCTTCGATGTCTAGTCATCTCTCTCGGTTTTTGGATCGCTAGCGAATGCGTTCTGAAATAATATCTATCATTCTGAAATAATGTAGACAGCGCGGAAAGAAAGCTCGATTTTTGAAAGCTGTTTCGACAGAATCGACAGAATCGCTAGTTTCTCGGCGGTCCCAACTAACCCAGCACTATCATTATTTTCTTCTCTGATAGATGAACTGGCACGGCTTCTATGACTGTTGCGCTCCGCCTCGCTCGATGTCGGTTCAGAACGGTTCGGGGTTACATCTACCACATCCGGTGATGGGGGTCTACCCCATCCAGAACCCCCACGCGATCTTGATCGATTTGCCGATGACGTTGTACATTGTCTTTCGGATTCTGAGTTTTAAAAGTATATGCTGAATACAGTGGGGTGAATAGAAACCTTTCGGTGATCGACTATAATGAGACGATTTGGAGCGAGATTGGAATGTTGGAGTAGGTCTTGGCTGGTAGTTAAAATTCGCTGGAACTCGCATTTGACCAGTGGAATAGTTTGGTCTGAGCGGCGTTGAAATTTGTGGCAAGGGTCGATTGTAATTCATTCGAGAACCCATGGGGTCGGTGTTGCCTCCTGTGCGAGAAGCATCTCGTCGAAAAGAGAAATTTGATTGATTTTGCTGGGAATATGAATTTCCGATATTCCAGTTTCTGCCACCATATCCCATCTGATCCGAACTCATATCTACTCGCGATAGCGCGCGCGACTGAGGACGACGATATGATCCTTCTGAAGGTGGACCGCGAGACATGGCTCGAGAAAATAAACGCATGGGCGGAGCTTCCTGAATAGGTGGTAGCAAGTCATCGTCGTAGCCGGGTGTTCCGGGTACTCTTCGACTTGTTGATTGGGCCCTCGTCATTCTTTCTTGAGCTTCCTTGTATTCCTCATATTCTTCTTTTTCAACCATTACAATGAACACATTTTTTCCTCTCCAGGCGTCAACACAAGAATGCCTGGATGGAATATACGCGATCATGTGCTCTGGTCCTGCGCCGCAAAACCTGTTGCCCGTAGTATTATGAGTATAGATTTCCGTTTGATCGTAGATCTCTTTACCGCACAGATTGCAAGTGTATACATGGATTTTCCTGAATTAACAAGCAGTGTATTAGAAGACGTGTGGAAACCTACATGTGTCGTGACAGATGGACGGTTACTTCAGAAAGCGTACCAACAAAACCGCAGTATCCTGCGATTGGTTTCGGATAGATGCATCGAAAGAATAATTTACTCGTTGCGTAGTCCAGTCCTCTGAAATTTTGTATTCGAATTTGTCACTTTTTCTTTGATAACCTTATTTTCTTCAAAGCGTTCCCGTCTATATTCGCATTCATTTCGAAGTCACTGTGCAGCGACTATGACTTCGCACGAAGAATTCGTAGCGGCAGGGTGTTTAAAGATAAAAAAAAGTAAAATTCATTCACTATTAAATCACAGCGCCTGTCACATAAATCTTGAACCTACCGTATCACTTTGTAAAGGCGCAACACTAAAATACATCGCAACGATATGAAAAAAATACCTAAGCGCCTTTAAGAAATGTTACGGTACGAGCTACAAAAAAAAACTTTTTGTCTTTAAAGCCATCTCAGCACTTTCAAACAGCGGCGAAAAAGGGCTTTTTCAGAAAACGGGGGTGTTTTATATTTGCTAATTTCGCTTATCAATTTGAGGACTATGTTTTAGAGATATTTAAAGAAGAATGCGAAAAAGGTAAGAAGAAATTACCAATAATATTAGAACTATTTAGAAATCGTTCTAATATTATCGGGAAATGGCAGGACTAAACGAATTGTTTGGAGTAATTTTATGCCAAGATTCTGAATGAAGTGAGCAAATTTCAAACTTATATGGATACGAAAATTTGGTTTTACCGAGAAAGGAACGTGTCTGGTCAAAAAATTCATGGAATATTCTATATACTGCAGAAGTTTTCTAAGTGTAAGTAGCTAAACAACACCGGTAATTTGGTAACTCATATTATCTTTTTCCAGCAAAATGTCCCTAAATATAGTGAGTCTTCCTTAAAAACGTCGAGATTTTACAAGTCACTTTGATGCCATACTTTGTCTGAAGATTTCGAAGCGCGCATATATTGCTTGATAACGTCCCATCAAATGAAGATGTAGGTGATATTAACCCTATTTACGCTAATTTTATGTTTTTCAGAGGAAGAAGACAAATGATTGATTGTGGGAGATGGAAAGTTCGAACAGAATTATGCCGCAAAGAGCTGTAGTCCGATCAACAGGCTGCTAAATAATTGAACTTTCATTAAAATTTCAATAAATCTTTTTTTAGTCATTCTACTTGATTTTGTGTTTTTTTTTCAATGGAATAAAGTCGAAATGCAAAGAAAAGGGGCGGGCAAGCGCGCTCGAGGGCATCTCCAAAACTTAGGAAACAGTGTGACAACTTAGTTCCGCCAGAGTTTCGCCACCGCTTCGCCGCTGTTTCCTAAATTGAAAGTGCTGAGATAGTGACTTAGCCGATGATAATTAGGTTATACATTAGATTCAAAAATGTAAGAAAATAAGCACCAAGTGTTGTGCGTGACAGTTTTCCGAATTACGACAATGCGTATTCAAATGAATCATATTTCTCATTTTTTTTATCAGACCTTTCCTTCTTTTTCCGAGATTTTCTGGTGTTTTTATGTCTGTGATATATCGGAGGAAACTTTGCTTTGTAAACTTTATTCTCAAGACAACAATATCAACAACAACAACAATTAAAAAATCATTTAAATTAAATCAAACAAAAAAAAACTTTAGAACAGCTCAAACTTTGCTCTTGGTCATCTTTCTCATCTTCTTTTTTGACTTTGAAACTTTCACAGAACTGCTACCTGCTTCGAGTTTTTCTTTTTTCTCATATGCAGCCTTTGCCATTTTCTGTTTCCGGACTTGCTCTATAACCGTAGCAATCTTTTGGCGTTTCGGAGCTCGCTTCAGCATTTCTTTTTTTCTGTCTCTGAAAACAACAAGTGTGCACATAAGTATATAAAGTGAAATTTTCACCTTGAAACTTTCTTCATCTCCATCAAGTATTCAGGGACGTCAAAGCCAGATTGGCGAATTACTGTCGCGATGGACTTGATATATTTCATGTCAGTATCGGTGAAGTAGGTAACAGCGTGTCCAGTTTTTCCTGCTCGACCAGTTCTTCCAACTCGGTGAATGTAACTGATGATAGAAGTTGGCAAGTCGTAATTAATCACAAGCCCAACATCGGATAAATCAAGACCTCTGCCGAGCAATTCTGTACATACAAGAACCCAAATTTCTCCGTTACGGAATCTTTCCATTGTGTCATCTCTCTCTTTGTCGCTTTTACCACTGTTAATCGAATCAACTTTGAGATTCGAATCGATTGCAGATAACAACTTCACTAATTGTACAGCTCGATCTTTACTTTGAACAAAAACCAAAGCCGGTGGACGAAATGCAGTTCGAAGCAAATTCCGGATTGCAACCTTCTTTCCATCCTCAGTTCCACAGTAGGTCAGCTCTTGTTTTACACTTGTGTTGGAGGAATTTCTTTCACCAACACAAACCATTCCAATATTCTCGATATTGTCTTTACACCTGGAAAAATTGCTATACGGCAAAACAATGAGATACATTATCTACCATTTCTCAACTTCATGGGAGAATGTGGCGCTGAAAAATGCTACACGAGTACATTTCGCGTCGCATGCTTTGTAGATGGCACCCAACTGATTTCGGAAACACTTTTCTTGGCCTTCAATGACTTCGAACAAGCGATCTGATTCATCAACCACAAGCCATCTCAAAAGAGAAGTATCGATCTTGTCAAGATGAAAAACAATGCGATTTGGGGTGGAAACTAGAATATCAGCATGAGTGATATCTGTTTCTTCTCCACTGAAATTAGCAACAGAGATGGAAGTTCCGGAACAATACTTAACAAACTCGGTATATGTCTGAAATTTGAGAAATGAGCAAGGAGTCAAGGAAAATGAATAATACCTGTGCTGCGAGTTCTCTTGTAGGTTCCAAAACAATAGCGAGAAGTTTTGAGGATTTTGAATAATCTGCACGTCGCTTCAAACCCAAAATCTCATCAATTACTGGGAGAGCAAACGCTAATGTCTTTCCAGATCCTTCAAAATTAAAAAATGAAACAGTTGCCCTCTCAGAGAGACACAAACCGGTTGGAGCACTAGCAAGAATATTCTTTCTTCCCATCATAAAAGGAATGGCCTGCATCTGAATTGGTGATGGTTGTCGGATATCATTCTCACTAAGATGAGTCAATAAGGATGGTGATAAACTGGAATCGTTGAAACGAAGAAAGATGTCCGGAAGTTGATATCCCCAAGTGAAAATTCGATTCGTCCGTCGGATGTCGTCCAGCTGCAAAGGGTTATAACATCAGGAACATGTAGAAGAGTTTATTAGTACCAATTTCTGCATTTTCTTCTCTACATCACCAACTGCTTCTTCCGCTTCACTTTCAGAATCATTCTCCGAATCATATCCACGTTTTCTTGATGATAGAATTTGAATGGATGCTGAAAATACACTATTTCAACTATTCGATACATTTAGCTCATATTCTTCTAATTGGGTTCATGAGCATAAAATGTTTCATTGTTTTAATTTAGCAATTTTTCAAATGTTAATTTTTCGGAATACGGACGAAAAAACCCGGAATCAAGAATAAGAATTCCGGACATCTCTGAGAGGTTCAAAATTATGAAAAATGTCACCCTCATGAATAATAATTTTACCTTGCTTCGAAACTTTCTTAACTACTTTCTTCTTCTGTTTCGTTTCAACTTTTCCTATCATTTTCTCTCGAAGTTCATCGAATTTTCGAAACGAGTCTTCTGTGATTGTGGATAATTCCTTAGAATCATTATTGAGCTTCTTCTTTTGCGGAGGGCCTTTTTTGATACCAAAGGATAGGGTTCTGAATGCCAAAGACATCTGGAAAAAAACATTGAATTCCACAAACTCGTGTGCCATTGAGATACTGTATATGAATCATAACATTTCAAATCATATAAAAATAGAATCAGGTCTGAATGGATTTATTTGACAATAGGTTTCAAGTTTAGCTCATTGAATAGCGAGAAGAAACAAGCTAGAGAAAGCAATCGAATTGTAGGAAACGGAATAGAGTTAACGGAATGACGAGATAAATTAGGAACATCTCAAACTTGAAATTCGAGAGAGCTGTGAGATTTAATCGAATTGACAACGTTGATGGTGCCTTCCAAAATGAGTTGACACACTTGCGAACTCATTTCGTCAGCAATCGAGGCCATTGCTGGTTTTGTACACTCCGTGCTCGAAAGAATACGAGATCCAATAAGAAGGTCAGCTGTGACGAGATCTAATTGCTGCGACCATCCTTCCAGTTTTTTAGCGTTTTGAATCAATGACATATTCACTGATTCTAGCTGAGTGGAGAGACCTAAATGCTTCTTATGAATGATAAGAAGAGGAAGACAAGATCATACCTTTAAGATTATGTGCACCGCCTGCAATTCCAGATTTGATTTTCAGAAGCCGTCGTTCGACAGATTTCGCGTAGCATTCATCTGCCGGCACTCCGTTGAACCGAATTTCATCTCCATCGTCGTTCACGGCCATATTACATGACAGAATACTTTCGATCAGTGCGTTGATTGCACAATCGTTCACATCTACACAATATTGAGAGAATCTGAAAAAAAATACTGTAGGAAGACAATGTTGACTCCAACCAACGTATGCCTGAATGCCACAAAGCGATCAATGTGAATTTCGACTTTCTGATTGACCTTCTTGACGTACCACTTCATCATACAGGCGTTCGTCGCCGCTTTTATCATTTGCTCGCCAGTTAAATGATGTGGAGTCTGTAAAACAAAATCGGTGTTAAACTATCTAATTTAGTAGTATGACACTCTATTTCTCAGTGCATAGCTCGTAGCATACATGTTCGAGCCAGAGATGTCCGGAATGACTTTTTTGAGAAACGGAATAAAACAATTTTCTCGGAATCCGGAATCCGGACAAATAAAAATTTCCCGGAATTAGGAATCCCGAATACGGAATGAAACTAATTTTTGGGAATCCGAAATCTGGAATCCGGAATGAAAAAAAAGGACGGAATTCGGAATAGGGAATCCAGAATCCGGACATCTCTGGTACGAGCCTCGTAGAACGTTTTAAAGGGTAGAATTCAATTGGAGAGTGACGTTTTATTATTCGACTCCATTTTTCACCATAAGTTACCTGGGCCAATGAAGATTTCAACTGTTCGAGTCTTTCATTGAATGCTTCACTGTTAGCCGGTTCGGGAGACTTTTCAATTTTCGGGCATCTGAATTTTAGTGTTTAGAAAAATTTGCTTTGCCCAGACGCTCACTTGGCTTCCTCCGATGCTCCTTCCAAATCGGAAGGCTTCACTGCTTGTCTCTTCTTCGCTACAGATGCTTTTACGTAGTTTCCAGACTTTGTACGATCCTGAATAAAAACTTAAAGTGTGAAATTTAGTGATCACTACTAACTTTTGATGCGGCAATTCCAGCGCCCATGGTTTGAATTTTTTGCATTAGAGATTCGGAATACTCGCAGCCAAGCAGTTTCACATTGATGAATAGCTGAGAGAGACATTGTAATTGAATTCTGAAAAAAAACAACTTTTAAAAAAAGTTTAGGGTTTATGTGTAAGATGAAGAAAGACACCAACTTTGGATAGTCGTCATAGTGTGCCAACATGAACGCTCTCCGAAGCTCCCAAGCGTCGTCACTCTCCCAAACCTTCTTTTCTGCTTCAACGTCTTCTAGCTTTCCCATCTGAAATCTTGAGAAGGATAGTGGATCGACCACTGAGAAATTTAGGTATCGTTAGCATAGGAAGAAAGCGTTATCATTCTCAATAACATAATTCCATATTACGGTTTATTACTGTACAATGACGAAAAGTGGTAGAATTTTGGTTAAAAAGATGCATGATTGATTACCAGAAAACAAAAAGAAAAACAAGGAAAAATGAAAAAACGCTCAGAACAGAAATCGTAGAATAGTGAATGATATGAGAAATCGAGATCATAGTGATTAAGACACAGAATCAAGTTCTACGAGGCAAACTGTAGTGATGAACAGAGCGATAAGGATTATTGAAACCAGCGCGAAGACGAATCCGTAATTCATAGCCATCATAAACCAGATGATGAGGAAAATGGACTGATAGCTGGCAAAGTACTGAAAAATCTTGATTTCAATGAATATACATGTAAACGGTCCACGAACCCTGAGACGGAGTAAAGGAGGAGACCTTACAATCCTAGCTGAATAGGCTGGAACCGTTGCATTCGGATCAAGATTTGGGACTGGTGGGTACATAACTTTGCGCACAATTGATCCGATCACTGGAAAGCATAACATGAATTAATTAAATAAATATTTCTGTAAGTTACAAGTTCGCTCCGAGTAGTGTGATCCGATACTTTTCACGAGAGAAAACTCATTGAGTTTCTGAGCTAAAGCCGTTGTGAATCGAACAGCGAGGCCGAGTTCGTAACTTCTAATCGGTCCTTTAGGATCGTCTTTGGCACATTTCGAGAAATCGAAACGTCTAAAAATTGAGAGATGTATACAGAGATGTATACAGTATACTGATGATATGAAACTAATATACAAACCTTTCGCGATTCAAAACTTGTCGTTGCCCAATTGGAGTGAGAAGCATATGATTCGATGGAGCGTCGATGAAATGATCAGGAATCCCAAGGCCAGATTTCGGAGTCTCATTGAGAAGAGATGTGCATCTAATGAAGACAATTACTGGTGAATGTTATTGTCATTTTCTTACTTTTCTGTGGATCCATTGAATGCTTGATTTGATGTGCCGGGTACATCAGTCACATCCATTTCCTGCACCAAATGAGTTCCAACATACGAATCGCTGTCCTTCATGAGTGCTAAGAGGTCATTACAAATCCGTTGGCATGATTGGACTTTCATGGATTCCCCACTATGAAACAACATATTCCAGAAGCCAGAATGTGCCTGAAACAAAAATAAACCATTTGATTGGCCATTTCATTTTATCCAACTTCCTGTTCCTGTCGAATTGTAGCCATGTTCAATCTAACAACGACTTGCATATGTTCTAATAGCTCGAGGCAATGTGGCTGAATGTCCAGCTGAATATGACGGAGCAGTAGAGTTTGGGGTTCTTTCCAGGAAAATTCGACTACAGCCCGCAAGGATGGAATCAGTTCTTCGCCAATTTCGAATGCCGAGAACCTTTTGATGACCTTCCCAAGAATTATTTCATAAAACTCGACGTTCTGCTCAAAGAATTGTCTGTATTTAGCAGCAGGTGGGAAGTCAGATGGATCAGACATATTATGATAGCGCCATGGACGGGCATAAGTCAGCCAGCACACTAGAAATACAAAATACTGAAAAATTTTCGTTAGGAATACTTACTAATAATGTCTCGGAAGACAGTACTGGTTGGTACTTGTGTGATGGAGCTTTTGAAGAAATCAAAGAGTGGCATTTTGAATGGAGCAGACGTCATCAGATCTAGTTTCCAGTTATCGACTTCGGGATCACCGGTGTTAAATTGACAGAAGACGTGGAACTGTTTTAGAAGAAATCTGAAAAAGAAAATTGATTTGTTTTCAGATGTTTTATAGCAATTACCGAATCAAGAGCAACTTGTTGGCGTTTGTAAACTGGGCAGTTGTACAAGACTTGGTGATGAAGCCGCAGAAGTTCTGAACCAGGCGAGGTTGAAAACTGACATTAGACACGGACATCATTTGACTGCGATCTTCTGAAACTTCAGAAAGGCTTTGATAAAGATTTTATAATAGCGATCCGTACCAATACTAATTCGATTGACAAGTGGAGAATCTGCCCGGAACAGTTGAAGTGGTGTTCGAATAGTTTGATGCGTTGTTTTCGGCGGGTGTGGAACTGACATGGATGTGGAAGTTGACTCGTCACAAGGCAACATTCTGGTGACGTATTGAGAAACAGCCGAGAACAAAACTGAATCCTTTGCTGGATCAGTTGGCTGAAAATATTTGTTAATCAACAGCGGAATAGTCGGACTCAAAATTACCGCAGCAGAAACATCACATTGATTCAGAATACTGTCCCATAGGTCCGTACACAATTGATCGTCCTCAAGAACAGTTTCGAAGAACAAGGAGTTTCCGTTTACAAGAGATTGAATGTGAGCATATGGGGAATCTTGATAATGCTGTGGAATCAATGGAGGAAGAATGGAACAGAGATCGATATGGGGGTTGCGAAAAAGTCTCTGAAAAATTGCAAAGTTCGAACTTTTCGTAATTCATCTCGTTTACATGAATAATCATCTTTGCGACAGAAACATTCCGTTCAGTTGAAATAATATTGGAACTAATCTCTCGGCAAATTGCAACAACATCGTCTACAGGAGACGTTTCTGCAGGAGACTGCCTGTATTGTTGGAACATTCCTGAAACAACAGTTAGCGAATGCGGTGTTCTCTCAAATCGTCAAAATAAGAAGGGTTAATTGACCATGATAATCGTTTCTTGAGCTATCCGATAGGGTAATGTAAAATTAAAACAATAACATTTATTTATATTAGGAATGCAATAAATTAGGTAAAAAATTGACTTAGATGCAGTGAAAGGCATTCGTTGAGATAGAAAAGACAGCACATCAACGTCTGTAGGTAACCTTCTCTCTTCTTCTATCCATCTTCTTTTGTTTCTTATCATCGACGTCTTCCGAATCCGATCCTGCTGTTAACCATGGAAAGAGGAATCCCATGACGAATTTATAAGTGGCAGCTGCTGGGAACGCGAGAAGGAGAAGGAAACCGTAAGTCGAGTAAAGAGAAACAACCTGGAATTTCAGAGATAGAATGAACGCTTTAGCGAGAATTAAATCCGACCTGAGTGATGACCGTCAGAATTATAGCATCTTTGCAATACTCTCCAAAGGCTTCTGGATCGTTCAAATCTGCACCTGCATCAAGGACATGCCCCTTCTCGTCTAGTCTTGCCTCTGTGACGTATTTATGAATAAAAAAGAATTTCGAAATATACTTACTGGCTAAGGACTTCATGAAAAGTATCGCTGCGATTTGAATCAAAGCAGATAGAGCGAAGAAAATGTAGTCCGATGATGAACATTGACTGAGAAACATACAAGAAGAGTAGTAAACTGCCATGCTGACAGTACTGGCCACACTATATGTGGTAACTGTTTTCTGATTTTCCTCATAGATTTCTTTTTGTCCTTTAGTAGCTTGCTTAACCATCTGAAATCAGCTAATCATTAGAACAACTAATGTCGTAGAGGTTTTTTCATGTAGAAGCGGAGAGTGAACAACCGATAGGATATAAAATACAATAGTAACAATCAATGATACTAAAACTTCATTTTGGTTTCATGACAAGCTTACGGGATAGTTTGAATTCACAAAACGAAACCACGAAAAAAGAGGAACGAACACCGATTGGAAAAAAAATGGAAGAATCAGGAAAAGTAGTTTTTGACGAAAAGTGTGCAAAATTGTAATATGAGAAAATGAATAATTGGAGTTCAACTGGTAGAAGAGCAATTAGTTGTTATGCAATGAGAGCCGGAAAATTTCGTTTCCGATGAAGAATGATCCTTGGTTGTTCGGGCGGAGAATGAAGACTTGAGAGAACGGGTTGATTGGATCTTCGTCGGTCTGAAAACAAGAATATAATAGTTTTCTCTAGACTGATTAAAAGTGGGGAGACATGAAACAAATAATGTTCTCGAAACTCCTCTTAAATATGCCCCTCGAGGAGTTGAACTTGCGGGAGCGAGGATTGAGGGTGCGGCGCCGCTACCGACTGAGCCACGCGGGCAAGGAGAAAGCGGCCACCCGATTGCACACATAAAGGCGAGGACGACAGCTGTACGCAACATTAAGCGTTGTACACCGTCACGGTAGAATGCATACCCTAACTCCAAAAAACTTCCGAAAAATCTCCTGTCCCCCCCCCCCCACTTTAAGCTATTAAGCTATACCTTGAGTTGTCCGAGAACCATAACTTGAATCGACCCATCGTAGAGCGGTTGAGAGTCGATGACAGTGATGGCCCGTTGAATTGTCGTGAACCCAAGAGTCTGAAGAATATACAAATTTCTATATTCAAGTATGTATCCTGCTCACAGTGAACTTTTCGAGAATCGCTGCACGTCCTCTGGCTTGCTGTCCCTCGAAAGTCATGTAAGAGTTATCCGGATCATATAAATCAGAAAGGCCTGAGAATTCGAAAGCATTTCGACACTCTTCCAGATATAATAATTTTACCTTGAGCTCGTGCAGCTCCATCTGGAACGTCGAACAAGGAGTAGTAGTGACCGATGAAGGCATTGGCGACGTTAGCGTAGTCCTGGTTGAAACTCATCGCTGCAAAATGTGAAAATTGCTAAAATAGGGATAGTCAGATAAGAAAGTAAAATCGTTCCTAAAAATAACCGTATGAAGATTGTAAAAAAAGAGTTTGAAGACAACAATGATATACTTTCCAAACTATTCAAGTTTGCGATCGATGAAAAAAATTTGGGTTTTCATAAACTAGAAACAATACTAGAACTAGAAAGAAATTTCGTATTTTCTCGTTTTCATCATGTTGTTATATAGTAAAAGCATCAGGACGCCACCACTCTATGGATTTCGAAAAGAAAAATTCGAAATTGACTAAAACCATGATTTTTTGGGTATTTGAACAGAAAACTGAACGGCAAAAAAAGACAGCGCGCGGGGAAAATTTTGTAGCATTATTCAGCGGAGCGCGTTTGCTGTTAGATCAATGAGAGAGCATACAAAACCGAGAGAGTGGCAGAGAAGGTTATGTGGCATCGTTGCCTACGGGAACACAAGAGACGATGAGAAAAATGGCTGTTTGGATCTGCCAACCTCACTCTTAGCTCGCCAAAATAGAATATAAGGCTGGTGAAGAACAATATACACTCGCATTCTTATTCTTATTCAAGTCACACTTATCCAAAAATGAGACCCTGAAATTGTTCCTATTCTATAATAAGAAAACTTTCCCATAATAAGAAACCTTTCCCAAAAAATTTCCTTTCTTTTATATCCTTCTACCTTTTCTTCTCCTTCTCCACATAGAACTAATAAGAAAAAACAGAATCTAGTCTGGACAGATGTATGTGGTTCAATAATGTGACCTTTTATATTCAATTCGAAGCTTTTTTATAACCCCTTGTCACAAATCAATCCTTCTTTTGTTACCATAGTTACGAAAGTGTTCATCAAGCAGAACAAAAATGATGAAAAAAGAATACGAATCCCCTTTTGTACCAATTGGGTTCGATTTTAATTGAAATAGTGTGTTTAAAAACTGAATTATGTTTCCCAGAAAGATGATATGGAAGTTTTAGGAAAATGTATATTACCCTCTTTGGAGCTCTTGAACTATGATAATACATTTTTTTTTATATTGCGTTTTGCTGAGATTATTAAATAGAGAAAACCATTTTCTTTGTTTTTGGAAAGTAGGTATGTATGAAACTAGTCATTCCAATTGAAGAACATTTAATACATAATCCGCTCTCTCAAACAACATATTGGTTTCTTCATGTAATCACGAGACAAATATTGCCTCGAACTTTTCTTTTTTCCTCCTTTTTTGTTCTGACTAGGTAAGCTTGAAAAAGAATCACCATACTTTGCTTCAAAATTCCATTTTTAAAAACTTTCTAGAACTTTTTCCAAACGTTTTTAATTATCCTAATCCTAAGTCATCAACCATAGAGTATTTTCAAGTTAGGTCAGAATACATAGTCAAAAAATGCTTTGAAGATGGATCACTCAATTGTCTCCCCTCAAATATATTCAAAGATCAAATCATTGGATCTGATTGCTGAACACCACTTTTCAAAAAACCCGTTTCATGAATATAAATATGAGCTATTATTTTGACTAGACTTTTTTGGAGTGATTAGTTTGTTTTCAGTATAAGGCATATCTGTTTTGAATTATTAATCTGGGAATTTTGATTAAGATTTTTTTTCGTAGTCTAATAGTTTGTAATGGAATGTTTCTTCCTTGGATTATATATATATATACATATACCAGCCTGTTTGCCGCGCCGCCGGCGCTTCAAACAGCTGGAATTAACCTTTTTCTTCTACTGTTCGTCGCTTCGCGACTCACTCTTCTTTAAATGTCACGTCAAATAATATTAATTTTCAAGATTTTCGAAATTTGTGGACAAACTGACAGAGAAACAAAGAGACGAAACTTCATTTATTTATTATAAGAATGATGACTAGCGTCCTCGGCCTACGGCCGACTCCGCTAGGCGCAACCGGGTAGCCATAGAGATTTTTAGCAACCGGGTAGCCATAGAGATTTTCTAACGATTGAAAAAAAAATCAGCCAAAACGGACCGGAATTGACCTAGTTACGATTCTTCAAAAAAATTTCTACAAAATTTCTACGAAATGTCGAAAATGGGGGTACGTGATACCTACTCGATTTAAAGGAAGAAGGTAGCGGATATTTTAAGATGGTTCATTCATTATCTACGTTATACCGTAAACAATTAAAGAGAAAGCAACCCTATACTTTCACTGTGAGCTCAACTGTTTGGATTTCTATAAGATGTATAGAATTCTGAAAACTGGTAAAATAATTTTTATGGTATCATAAAAACTCTAATTGTTTGCAAATGACTGATATCTTTTACAAAAATTAAATTTATAATTCCGTTCTTTCTCTAATAGAATTCCACAGAAGTTATCAACTTTGAGCTCAATTCTCGATTCCTGTAAAAGATATAAAACATTTGTCAACTGATAAATTATTCATCATAATATCCCCAACATTTTATTAAAGAACCAATTTTTGATATCTTCTAAAGGAACAGAGATAACTGACTATGAGCTTGAAGTTGACGTCTAGGAGGGTATATTTTAGAGGAAATATCGGATGGCGTTCAATAAGATCTTTTACGGTATACTCTGAAAACATAACACAAGTTTTATAATCTTTTCAAGATTTCCTTTTAGTAAAAACATTAATTATATTCCACATCTATTCATACAGTGCATTCAATAAGAGCCCCCCTCGATTTTAAGGGTTCCGGGAAAAGTGAAAATGATATGAAAAATCTGTGAACGCCATTCGATTTAGAATACAAAATAACCCCGGGAACAAATTTTCATGCCTCTTGCACTTTCTGTACTCGAGTTATTAAATGTCACTTTTGTAACCGTTCAATAAGGATAGGACCACCCTAGAAAATGAAAAACCACAAAAATTTTAGGGTACAAATGTGAACTTTTTTTCGTTGGAAATTGTTAAAATAGTCTCAAAATAGCCTATTTTGAAAGTTCAGACAAAAATTGATCCCTCTCATCAAGTTTTAGAAAAAATTATTTTCGGACATTTTTGTCATCTTTTGGTTTTTGGAATAAATCAAGGATAACTTTGCTCCCGGGTAAAATTTTGAGCTGAAACTTATAGAAAATAATGCTGCAGTAGTCTGAATTGTCTACTGAGAGTTGTTATGCTGTTTTGAGCCGTTTTTGTAATTTAACATGGATCGAAATTTCCGAAATTGACCTTGAAGTTCGGTGATTCTGATTTTTGTTGAAAATCTAGATTTTACTGTGTTAACTTATTTTTCTGTACAAAATAACACTTTTGATATCGATTTTAATCACTTAGAACACCGTTCGAACATTTTAGACAGATTTGAAAATTTTCCAATTGGGCATATTGGGCAATTGGGCATATCAGTACAAAACTCGAGCTCAATTTTGAGCCACCATAGCTCAAAAGTGCCTTGAACACTCACAACATGATCATGATAATTCGAAACATGTTTCCAACTAATTTCAGCTCAAAAGTTTACCCAGGAGCAAAGTTATCCGCGATTTATTTCAAAAACCCAATAAATGACGAAAATGTCCGAAAATTATTTTTTCAAAAACTCGATGAGAGGAATCGATTTTTATCTAAACTTTCAAAATAGGCTATTTTGAGACTATTTTAACAATTTCCAACGAAAAAAAGTTCATTTGTAGGTCCTATCCTTATTGAACGTTGACAAAAGTGACATTTGGGTATAACTCGAGTACAGAAAGTTCAAGAGACATGAAAATTTGTTCCCGGGGGTTATTTTGTATTCTAAATCGAATGGCGTTCACAGATTTTTCATATCATTTTTATTTTTTCCGGAACCCTCAAAATCGAGGGGGGGTCCTATCCTTATTGAACGTATTGTATCATCCTACAGTAATCTTTTCGGTTCAAGATGTGAATACGGCACAGTTTATCAAAACAACTCACGAGATCTAGAGATTACTGTACTTTGAGAATTAGAATGACTCTCAACTCTGAACTTCAAACAAAAAGACATTCTCTAATTTGAAGTTAAAGCGCAGAAGACATTGATATTCCTGTTTTTGCTATCTAATTGAATTGGTTCTATTTGATATCCGTTTTAAACTTATTTGAGATAGTAGAGAAACGTGAGCCTCAGCCAAGGTCAAACCATCTTCGTCTTTTATCTCTTTTCGACATCTCAGAAAACGGTCAATTTTGTTTTTGGCATACTTGTAAAATTCCGGGCCGGCCCGCCAAAGCCCGGGCCGGGCTTGAGGAAATTTTCAAGGCCCGGCCCGGAAGGCCCGGTGTCAAAAATTCTGTATTTTTGAGCCAAATTTTGAGCTCTCAATATAATTTTTTCCATTTTTTTTTTCGTATTTCGGATTGTTTGTCTGTCTGATCAAAAAAGATCGAAAAAAAATTTTTTGGTCGAAAAAAATCACATAAGGGTCCCCCCTTATGTGTTTTTTGAAAATTTCGAAACTAGTGAAATGACGGGCCGGGCCTCCGAAATTCCGGAAAAAGCCCGGCCCGTTACAAGTATGGTTTTTGGTTTTTCTTCCCATTTTGACCATAAGGTTGCATTGTATTTCTTTGATTTTTTTCAGTTGTTTGATTTACTTTCCTGATTGAAAAAAATTTGCTAGTTTTGGAAAATTGTTTTTCATTTTCATGACTGCTAGTTGGCCGCAGAAGGAGAACTGACGGGTCGTCGACGTGCCGTTGACGGAAAATTGGAACCTTTTTATAAAACCGACTTGAAAGTTAAGATTGCAAATTTGCCTGAAAACTATATTTGCTTCCATAAAATCATAGAATGATGATATAAGCAATTTTTTCTCACATCGAACCAATTCAAAATTTAAGTTGTTGAACAACTGCTTAATGACAGTCGAAGGGCGCTGACCGTTCGATGACAGGCGGTTGACGGACCAAATTTTTACTGAATGAGAAATTTGATGAAAATTCTTTATTCTAAGTTCTTTATTCTATTTTCAATTGCCCAAAAACTTTTCTGAAACCTTTCTAAATTACGTTCCATTTTTTTCTTCGGAAGTCTTTTTCGAGGACAACATCTTTCAATTCGTTTCTTTTAATTCTTGATGATTCCTAAAGAAGTTTTAACTCATAAATACATTTTCAGAAAAACAATGGCTGGTCCATCTTCCAGAGCCAATGGGGCACCAGTTGCGAAGGATTTGTATCTTGAGATGGCAGATCCCAGAATCCAAACCATGGCAAGATTGGTCGTGCCGGAAACTTCATGTACCCTTGGAGACGTAAGTTTTTTGAAAAAAAACCTAAAAATATCTTTGAGTTACAAATAACACAAAAAAAAGAGCTTACTCGACTGTTGTAGCAATTATAGAAATATAGACACTGATTAGTTAGAAAATTATTAGGTTGGCGGGAAAGTCTTTGTCACTTTTTCAATAGTTTATTTCTCAAAGAAAAAATAACCGAATAATTAATTATATTGTCCATCATTATCAACAACATGTCTCCAACGTTCTCTCAATTTATGGATTCCATTGCGGTAGAATCCAGCCGGGCGTGAGGCAAAGTATTGTTTGAGTGCCGCTTCGACCGCTCCACGGGAATTGAAGCTTCTTCCTTCGAAGGCACGTGTCATATCGCCAAATAACCAATAGTCGGAAGGAGCAAGATCAGGAGAATACGGGGGGTGAGGGAGAACATTCCATCCATATCCCATCAGCTCCTGCTTCACTTGTTTCGAAACATGTGGGCGAGCGTTATCATGTTGATAGTACACTTTCTTGTCTTTCAGGGCCGAACGGTCGACTGCTTTCTTGAGGTTTCGTAGTTGAGTAGTGTAGAGGTCTCCAGTTATTGTTTTGCCCTCGGGCAGAAGTTCCCAGTAGATGGGGCCGTCCACTCCCCACCACACAGAGAGCATAACTTTTTTCGGATGAAGGTCGGGTTTTGGGACATCCTGTGGGCTCTCTCCTTCTCCAACCCGCTGGGATTTCCTGTGGTGATTATCGTAGAAGACCCACTTCTCATCTCCGGTTATTAGCCGGTCCAGCCATCGATCGCCCGCGTGGAGAGTGAGAAGAGTAATCGAATCGTCGACTCGGCGGTCAAGGTTGGCTTGAGTCAGGTGATGAGGTATGAATCGACCAAAAAGTTTTCTCATTCCAAGAGACTTCAAACCTTCAAGGACTGTGCTATGGTGAACTCCGAATGTGACAGCTAGTTCACGGCTAGATTGAAATGGATCCGATTGCAATGCGTGCTTCAGCTTGTCCAAATCCAACTCACGGGGTCTCCCAGAGCGATCCTTTTCATCGAGCGAGAAGTCATCTTTTTCGAAACGATGGAACCAATTGCGAATAGTATTGTAGTGAGGGGCATGTGTGTTGTACACATTCTTCAAGAAAGTTTCCGAATCCTTCATCGTGGTGTGAGATAGGAAGAGGTAAATCAAAACATGTCTGATGTGAATAGCAGTGGGAACAAACATATCGTTTCAATTACAGATGAGGAGCAGGGAAGGAGATGGGGACTTGTTTATATGGAAGGTTCTTATCACCTTGTTATTCACTAGAGTCGATATCATACACAGCCTCCATATACGAGAACAGTGATTAAACAAACAGAGTGACAAAGACTTTCCCGCCAACCTAATACTGAATTTTTGATCGTTTCAAAAATATAACTAATTCAGACTCAAAAATAAAACTCTGATAGAAGGCCCCCTAACTTTTTGAGCCAATTTATCTTGCTTCCTGTTAAAATTCTCAAAAACTGGTAAACTGACACAGTGTTTTTGATATTAAAATAAACATTTTGTTAGTTGATAACTTTTTGATATTTGTTACAGAAAGCGATATATGGGCTCAAGGTGCAAGTAGAGAGTGTCCTTTTATTAGTGTGTTTACGGCAGTTATGAGTTGATGGATTGTTCTGAGAATGTTCAAGCAGCATAACAAATTAAAATAGAACTGCAGTTTTGAATTATAATTTTTTGTGAACAATAATCTCATTAGATATTGTGCTTTTCGCATTTGGGTTAGTTCATACAAAAAATTACCAACTACATAAATCAAACTCCCGTTTTCTTTAAAATAAGAGTGTCGTATTTTCTAATAGAAGCCTTCGCAAACTGACAATTTTGAGCTCATTTATCTTGATTCCTGTGAAAGACATAAAAAATGTGTCACCTGATAAAGTATTGGTGATATTATGACAAATAATTCATCAGTTTATAACTTTTTGATATCTTTCACAGGAAATGAGATAATTGAGCTCAAACTTGACGGTTCGGGTTGACTTCTATTAGAAGAAATACCTACTTGCAGTTTTTAAATATTAGTTTAACTGATTATTTGAAAGCAGCAAGCTGGTGCGCCTTCGGCACGATTCAATCCCGGTCACGTAAATCTATATTTTTTCAAGTTTTTCAAAAGTTGACAGATTGACATCGAGACGGACAAACGCCTCTGGCGTTTTATATATAAGGAATACCAAAATGCTACAATTTTTTGGACTATGCATAATTTGAAAAAAAACACTATTCGCAATAAAATGAGCTTCCTAGGTTTAACTTTATGATTTGTAATACCGTTGATCTTGTGATAGAATCTGTTCCAGATTTTTTTTGTTTTTAATCTTTCGAAGCTTTGTCAATTTCATTATGGTTGCTGATTACTTGCAGTTAAAACTATGTATCCGCGATAAAAGAGGTCATAAAATAGAATGACACTTCTTTCTGAAGCAAATTGATTCTATTACAGGATTTACGATAATTATTGTTAGAATTCTGAAGAGTTGTTCTTCTAAATTTCTTGGTTACTGTTGGTTATCTAATGGATCTTTTCAGAACACCGACGAATGGAACGGCCGCGCAGTTATTCACGTTTGGAGAATAATAGAAAATATAAAAAATCAGGACCTTTTTTATAAAGCCATCACTCAAGGTCCCATCGCCCGAAAGACATCTTGTGTACCGGCACGGAATGCGAAGCTTCCAGAGACCTACGGAAGGGTCGGATTGTTCAACTTGAGATTATTTCGATTCTCATGCCTCAAGGACGAGCGTCAAATCACAAATATCCGTAGTTGTAGACACAAATATGTTGCTCGTGGAGAAATAGTATGCCTGAATCCATATCACTATAATTTCTTGATACCAAAAAAGGAAAAAATGCCACCTATTATGGTAACCAGAGGACTCGATTATGGAGCACCACCAATTCGAATGAGATTTCCATTCAATGAACAAGAGCTCATGGAAAACATTCTTGTTGATGAAGAAGTTGATGTGCCAATTAGCAATGTTACATTGGAAGGAGACGAACTCGGGGTTAGTAAATATGAAGCGATGCTCTCTTATTCATCACACATACTTGATTTCAGGCATTCTTCAAAAATAAAGGTGACACGCTGACAATGGAACAAATGGAACAAGAGGAACAGGAAGAAGATGAGTCAACTCCAGTACCATCTCCTCAAAGAATGTCTTCCATGGATATCGAAGGAGAAGAGGAGCTGGAGTATTACAGATGCGGCAGTGACTCCCCTGGTGGAAGGTGGTTTTGAAAATCTTTTGATTCCTTATAATCTTAGTTTTCTAGTAATGCTCCAACGCCTCGTGCCTATGTCAACGACGGATATGGAGAAGATGAAGATATGGAAGGTGTAGAGGAGAAAAAGAAGAATGAGGAATCGACCAGCAATGAAACGAACCAACCAAATACTCCAATGGAAATACCACCATTGTTCCGATCAGCACCTTCCGAGATTGCCGAGTTTGCCCACAATGTGGAAACACATGCTTACGTCGAATATGAGGAAAATACACAATGGCTTGGATTGGCATACTACGAAGAAGGTGCTATTCAAGCAGCTGCCGTTTTCAGTGGTCAACATGCTCTCATTGATGGATATACATCAAGTGGAACACCAACGTAAATTTCCAAATTCTCTGAAAAACTCTTAAAAAAATCTTTTCCAGTCGCTTTTCTATTGGGTTTTACAACAGTTTGACTCGCCGTCAAAATATTTCTGTGGTTCGGAATGAAATGCAAAAGGGAATTCGTTTGTATCTTCTGGCTGGAGAGGTCTTCCTGGAGAACTTGAGTGCAGTTGGTGTATTCGTTCAATCCGTCAGTTCGAATCTCAGCCGGAAGTTCAGACCAAATACAGTCACGAAAGTTCGACCAGGGGGAACAATGAAGATCTTTGATCTGGCACAGTTTTCGAAAAGCTTAGCCCTAGCAGCTCAGAAAACTTACCAAGGTTGGTGAAAGATTGTGATAAACGAGATTAGTACAAATTCGCCTTTTATGTAATCAATGTGAGAGGGTCTTTTTGAATCTTCAACAAAAATCAAAAACGTTTTTTCAACTATTATTCTAGCCCAAAAAAATTGGAGATGTGGAAGAGAAACGCCGGGGTGGTCGAAGGTCCCACGACGACAACTACCGTAACCTTAAAGAAATCTTTATTTTCCGGATTAATTTTTCGTTTTCTGTAATTTTTTCCCAAAAAAGTAAACATTTTGATAGTGAAAAAATGATTGAGAACCCACGAAAAGCGAGAAACGAAAAACAAAAAATTTTAGGTTACTGTAGTTGTAGTTGTAGAACCTTCATCCACGGCAACCGGTGTTTCTCTTCCACAGCCCCGAATTTTTGTACCAGAATAATACTTTAAAACATTTTGATATGAATTCTTTTCATCATTACTGTTTCTACAAATATTTTTTTTTTCAGATGTGTCCAGCCTCAACAAACTTTGCACGATTCGGGTTGCCATGTCCGAGGGCTGGGGAGTAAAGTACCATCGTTCTACGGTGCTGAGCTCACCAGTCTGGTTCCAACTGTATCTGCACAATCCCATGGCTTGGATCGACAATGTTCTCAACTGTATGGGTGCTCCTGCTATATATTGCGATTCTCGAACATGAGTCTTGATCATCCCTCTCTTCCAGCCTAACTTTTTCCTTTTCTCCATCCAGTTCATCATTCCATCTTCCTACTTAAATGTCCCTTCTTCGTTTATTTATTCTCTTGAACCTGCCCTATTTGATTCTACTCTGTAATTCATTAGTTTCTTCAAACTTCAACTTTTTCTTGTGTCGTGAACCATCTCAATATTGTATCACAATGTCTTTTCTTTAAATGTTTTTTGTAATGCAGTTGAAATGAATAATACATTTTCGATGACTTTTTTATAGGTGTTTCAGATATTGAGGATATGCAGAATAGGACAGGAGCAACTTTATAACAAATTGGAAAGATTTTGGAAGAACTTTCAGTGGTCTCCTTTCTGGAATAAATTCAAATTAGATATTCAAGAAACACTGGCATCTCTGAGCACTATGCGTTTGAGAAAAAAGGACAAAGAGTCAAACAAAACAAAAAAGCGCACACACACACATTACTAAATTGGTTTTGCCTGAGCTCTTTTGAGCTTTTTTCCCTCCCTTCCACTCCACGTCTTCTCGTTTTTCCTTCCTCGAGGCGTACGTTGCTTTTATCCACTTCTTCGCGTTTACTCTCCTTCCACTGGCGTCTCTCAGTAATTCAAGTACTCTCTCATTTGGCTCCTTTTTTTTCAGAAGAAGAGCCGTTTCCATCACCGGGGCGAGGAAAAGGAGGATCGATGTAGTGGTGGTGGCTCTTCAAGCTTTTTTTTTAGTCACCAGTTCCTTTTTCTCTAAATTTGAATTTCAAATAGTCATACTTCTATTTTTCTAGTATGATTGTATTTCCAAGCTTTTCTCAAATTCAATGAGTGTATATTTAAGAGAGCCAGATAGTTATTTTTCATTCATTCGTTTTTGATTTTATGATAAGGAAAGCTTGTTGAGGGATTATGATAAGGATATCTTATGCTACAGTATCATTATTTCATTCGGCTAGCTACAGCATCATTATGTCATTTCGTGAATTTCTCAGAATTTGAAAAACTAAATTTCCCGATTTGTTTTTTGATTCTCAACACACGATTTGTCGAAAAGCAATCCAGAAAAAACCAAACATTTTTGGTTACTGTGGTTATTTCAAAGGCGCGAGGTGCCAAACTCCACTAATCGCTACAGTACTTCCAAGGCGCGCGATTTGAATCTGAATCGGCGGGAGAGTTTTTTCCGATTTTTTTCCGAAATTTCTTTCCGTAATTCTTCCTTGTTCTCGATTTCTTTTTCTCTATATGAAGAAATGTGTCCTTGTTCGTAAAAAATGCTTAAATTTGTCGTTTCTCCTTCGAAAACCCCAAAATTAATCGTATTCCCGGGCCCGCTTTCTCCCGGCTGTGTCCTCCTCGCTGTGCAAAAATTGTCTTTCGGAGAATTCATTTAGGTTTTTGTTTCCGTTCTAGCTCATTGGAGCATTTTATAATTTTGCCAACAGCTAAAAAGCTTTGCAAAAATAACTACTCTTCGTCCATTTTTTTTTTTCAATAAAATCTCCGACTTTATTATCCAACATCGCTGAATTAGTTAGTCATATGTTGAGAGTGTCATTTGTCAGCTAGTTGTTACAATTTTATAATTCGAAACTTCCTGTGCTTCCCATCCATCCGATGCTTCTAACATTCAAATTAGTCTCGCGCTCCTCGCATTTCTGATTTTTCATAAATAGCTGCCTCAATACGCACTTTTTTCTTTTTTCTTTGTGGAAGAGAGGCATTTTATCGGCCTCGTTTGTATCGGGAAATAAAATAGGAAACGGAAGATTGAAGCGAACGAAACGAAGGGAAAAAAATACTTCAATGTTTGCTTTTGTTTCTCCGTTCAAAATTTGCATTTTTGCATCGTTTATAAACGGTGTTGCGCTTGAAATCTCTAGTTCGAAATTCGAAAATTAATGAACATTCTCAAAAAATGCGATTTATACGGAATTAGGTCTATTGTAAAAATATTAAAGATCTTCTCTTTTTTCAAATTTCCTTCTTTCTCACTGTCTCATGAATTATTTCTCGTTGTTGAGAATGTAGGCGTCGCTGCGACGGAACCCCGGCGAAACGAAAAATGGGAGAATCGGACAAAAGGAGCATCCTAACAGAAAGGAGTTCGGTCTCATATCCGATTCTTCCGCAATTTTTTCGCACAACAAAAGACAAATGGGGAAGCGTATTGATAGGTTCTATGCCAGGTTGATTGGAAAGTTATCCGATTGCTACCAAGTTGTTCAATACCCAGTTTCATACAATTTTTCTTTCGCCATCCTTAGAATTACATAAATTACCTTCATTATCATGATAGTCATTACTAAAAGTTCGGTTCTAAGTTCTAATGAAAACAGAAAATAAAAAAAACTTTGACTACTTGTTTAGCTCTACAAGAACTCGTGAAACCTATAACGCAGCTGTATAAACACCTGTTTATTCGAGCTAAAAGTAAAAATCCGAATCTGGAAATTCAATTTATGTTTAGCATGAAGACGCTGTGGAAAAGAAACGGCGGCGGATGTAGCCGTAGGCCTTGGCAACTACAGTAACCTGAAAATATTTTATTAATTTTCCAAATTTTAGTGCGCTTTCATTCGATTTTTTCCCTACCGAAAATTATATTTTTCCGACTTGTTTGGGGGAAAAAATGATAAAAATCGACAAACGAGACAATGAATCTTGAAAATTTAAAAAAAAAAAAACATCAGGTCACTGTAGTTGTCATTGTGGTCTCTTCGGCCACGACCTCCGGTGTATTTTTCCACAGCTCCGATTTTTTGTGCCAGAATAATAACCCCATAAGTAACTGTACGCCTCCAGATTTATGAAATGAAGCGAGATGATGTTAGATGAATTATACAAGGATGAGCGCGGATATTGCTGTGATCTATTTCGCTTATTTGCTCAGAAAACTGATGCTTCCACTGTTGCTTGACTTTCAGATAACTATATAACAAGTAGTGAATTTCAAAAGTTTTAATTTTCACATCAAAGTACTGAAATTTCAAAAATTTTTGGGAGCCACGTGAATCTTTTGAATCTCCCAAAAGATGGACCGTTAAGTTTTTAGGAGCAACGTGTTTTTTCAAAAAATATAACAGAAATACCGTAAAACCTCTAATAGAACGAATTATGGGAATTCCGTTTGAAAAGAGCACGAAGCAGTGATTGCGCTTCTTGAGTCAAGAAATGTGGCATCGAGAGTTTTGCTCTGCAAATCGTTAATTTTCAGTCGTGTCGAAATAATTCAAACAAACTTGAGGATTTGATTCATAGTATCGTTTCTATCTCGTCCTTGGAATGGTAAGTGTCCAGTCAGCATCTCGAACTGTAAGAAGGATTTTACAGTGTTTCAAATAAAAATGACTAGAGGGTCGTACCATCAAAACACCTAACGACCAGAAATCAGCAGCCATCGAATGCCCTCGTCGATTGATAACTTCTGGAGCCATGTATTCTACTGTGCCACAAAAACTGTAAGTCTTCTTCTCGCTATCAATTGCTTCCTTGC